AAAGGATCTTCACTTGAGTACACGGTAAGATCCTTTAAAGGTTCTGGGTTTTTTTTATTCGTTTTTTGAAACTTTCAACACATTTGCAAACTTTTTGTCATCTAGCGAACCTTTTTTTTAGGTTCCAGAAAGTACCTTTTTTTTTTACAGTGTAGAGTTGAATTACAAGGACTTATTGATTACACGTTGTTGAACTCAGAATATACACTGATAGATGGAAATGCTATACAAGATCAATACTCCGAATGGAAGCAACGAGTTTTACACGAAATTAAAGACAAGGAAACCGCGGATATTTGGATAACAAATGGAGAATTGATCACATCAAAAGTAATGAAAACATTTTATACAAGAAGAGATTTATCCAACGCTATGAGTGATTTTCTCTATTTTCATTCATTAATGGTACTCAAAATTAGAATCGAAGCGATATGTGAATCGGCAGCGTCAATTTTAAAAGGACATATACATGGTAATCGTTCGTTAAATCATAATTCCTTAGATAGAGAAGTAATGCTTCATTGGAATGCTCCTCCGTTGCATCTCGCTGATTCATTTATCAAAAATTCACTAGATGATAACTTCAGCAGCAAGAAGAAGAAAAATTGGTTATTTTATAAAAAGAGTAAACAATATCAAACATGGAAACTTATATCACCTGGTTCTGTTGTACTAAATTGTTTGAGAAAAAACCAAGTATCAAGATTACCAGAGTTAATCGATGATCAATAGAACAGATTATCTTTTATATAACGCTATTTGTCTTAATTAGCTTTGTTTTAATGTTCTTTCTTTATAGATACATATTCCATACGCAAAAGCCGTACTTTTTATTTTTTTTAGTTCGGGAAATTTTTCGTTTTTACCGCAGATTCTGCACCTCTGTTTCCCACATAAGGTTAAAGATAACTAATAAAGCAGGTGCATTATTACGATAAGTTGATGGAACACCTCGGTGTGACCATTTGATTTTCTCTATCCATTGTGTTAGTTTGCTTTTAAATCAGGATATTCTTTGTCGTTCTGCAGCTTGTTCTCTTCGTTTATTTGCAATAATTTGAGATGAAATTGTTGCTTTCTCCCGTTTTCGACCTGCACCTGGTCGAAAACTACCATGACCACGGTTACCATCTCCAATATCGGAATCAGTGTTCATTTCTTTTTTCTTTCATAAATGAGTGAATAATATGGATTAAGAAAAACGCTATTGGCAAATGATAGCTACTCTATATGAGTATACAATAGATATATAAAAATACACGAAACACTTGCCAGGGAGGTAAAAAAATCAAGATAAAACAATCGTCAATTATATAAAAATTGAATAATTTTTCATATTTAATAGTAGCTAGCGCTTTTGAAAATAGGAGTAGTTATAGCTAGTGGCTCCCTCTACATGACCATAAACAAATCATAAAACAAATATCTCTTGGTGCATTGAAAAAAATCAAAAGAAGCAAAAAATACCAAAACTGAAAAAAATCAAGTTTTCACCCTGAATTTGAGACCAAACCACTATAACAAGATGTGACTCATCATGAATCACATACATGAATACATGAACACGTTGCAAATACTGAATCATATTTACGCTTTTGTACATAAAGAATTGAATATATAAGTCTTCTGTTGACAAACACATTCAATATAGAGAATAGGACATTTATTTTCTATAGTATAAGGTTTGAATAGTTTGATCTCAACCGATTTACCAAAATATCTTTTAGTCTTGTCTATAGTCGCACTTTCTATATAACCTATGTACCGTTATATCTTGATGTTATGATGAAGGTTGGTAGGCATATATTAATTACTAATGAAAAATCAATCTTTACATATTAATTAATACAATCCATGTTAAAACATTTTATGAAATATAGTAATATAGTTGTTTCGTTTTGTACATGACGTTTCTCATTTTGCGACATTTTTTCATGTACATTTTTTATTCGTTCTTCTATATGCTGACTCATACGAGTCTATTTTTATAAAAAGAAAACAGAACACAGTAAGTGTCAACATATGTAGTTATTGCACAAAGAATGGAAATATTGTCTATTTGTCATTTAACTGAAGAGTTTATTGTGAAATATTTCTAACATCGTCGTGTTATAAGAATAATTCACTTTATTTTCTTTTGCTTCTATATTGTCAAAAATTGAATTTCTTCTTATTGTTTTAGACTTAAAATGTGTCTTCTATGATGATTAAGTAAGGTACTCGCAATGCTAAATTATAACGAATTTTTTTTTCGCTATGAGTGGATAGACTGCCGCATCAAGTTCTACAAGAATACATATGTCCTGTATTCCAAAAGCATTAGTAGTGCGAGAAAAACATGAAAAAGTTAGTTCAAAAAAAAAATTAAAAATCTCTTGTCTGTCATGCCTGTGAGCGAAGGGCGAAGTTGCTAGGGTATTTGTCACGATAGAGACGGAGCGGAGGAAGGGTGTGTCTCGTGTTTTAGAAAATATAGTTTCGTTCTTAAGATAGTTGCGTTTAAACAGCAGCAGTAAAATAGCCTAAAAAAAAGTTCATATTCATGGATTTTGACCATCAAAAATTTTATTTCTAACCAAAAGATACATACTATTCGGAATTAGCACAAAAACCTTCATCAAATGGTTTCATTATCATGAAAAATAATTTCCCACCAAAACTCGACCCTCAAGACCACAGGTAGAACTATGTCAAAAGAATATTGAAGGGAAGTAGAGATCAAATTTTGGTAGAAATTTCTTTTCGTAATAGTTAAAAAAGTCTATGGTGTTTTTGTCTTAATTTTGCATAGTATGTATGTTTTAATTAGCAATAAAATTTTTCATAGTCGAAACTTCCGAATATGAGTCCAGTTTTAGACAACTTTACTGTTGGTATCTAAATAAGTGAATTTCTCAACAATGGAGCTATACTTTTGAAAAGTCTACTTAACTTTTTCCTGATCCTAAAATAAGTGAAAAATATCGAAACGAACGAAACTTGAAGCTTTTGATGCAATTGGTCTTTTATAAGGATTTTCAATTTTTTAAACTTACTTTCATTACGTTCTTCTTCCAATCATAGTGCTTGAAAATTTGTGACATACACATTCTTGTAGAATTTTATGAGTTCTCACCAACTATAACAAAAACAATTGCTATAATTTCGCGTTGAGGACATTTTAACTTATGCATTGAAAATTCAATAGAACGATTTAAGTATGAGTGGAAAATTCCTTTGAATATGAGACTTGATCTATGTATTTTCATTGCTATCATTTTTATTTTTATCTATTATCATCAGAGATTAAAATCGAGATAAAATCTATTCAAGATAAAAATAATATTTATTGAGCTCTATGTGACGCAATACTATCTAATTTTTAGGTTCGAATATCGTTTATTTAATTTTATCAGAAGTTAATACGTTAAAAAGGCTACTCTCTTATTTTATTTCCTCATTTATAGAAACAAAGATAAATTTTTAACTAAACAAATATCTGAATGTCTCGACGTGAATTATACAGTTATCGTTGGGATGGTACAAAATGGGCTATTGTCACTAAATTATTTCATTCCGAATTAGAATCCAGATCATCAGTTAATATTACTACAGATGTAGAAAATACAGTGCCAAAAGTTAAGGAACCAATTCGAATAGCTACATTCAATATACTTGCAGATTGTTTTCCATGGTTTGTTGAAATGGCTATTCGAAGTGCTGAAAGATATGAATGGCTTTGCAATGGTATCATTAATCTCAATCCCACTATAATTGGTTTAAATGAAGTTACTATTACTGCACTACAACGGCTAAAAGAATGTTCATTTATTCGTGAAAATTATTTTATAACAGACATATTTGNATGTCTTCTTTATCATCGACTCAACCACCTTATGCAGATCCCATTGTGATTTTATCTCCTCCCGATATTAATCCTCCAGTTAATATGGTTATAAATCCAATTTTGCCCAAAACTAGACTGCATCATGTTTGTCAATGTTTTATTAAATTTCTTCATCATTTACTTCCATCATTTATAATTTTTGTTCTTCTGGTATTTGCTACATACCAAATTGCTCTCGCCTGTTATCATTGTCCACTTCTTCATGCAAATCTTTACTGGATACGTGCTTCCTTGTTCATGAATATTCCATTCGTTTTGGGTATATTGATCTACATCATCATTATAGTGAAAAACAAATTGTCACCTTCCTATGAGCATGTTCTATGGATAGCCGGAAGCTATCTAATGATATCATGTTGGCATTTTGTGGTAGATTTTTACATTATTACAGGTATAGAAATGAACCAAATTCGAAGAAAATTACAGAATGCAACAGTCGTAGCTTTGTTGCCTTGTTCTGAGAGTTACTATCGACAAGTATTCGGCACCATCATCGCTCTGTTTTTGTATCCTGTCTTCTTTGTAATTCTTCTTTGTTGTTTATGGTCTTGTAATGATCAGACTGTTTCCGAATCCACTGATAAAATGATGCTTAGATGTGATCGATTCATTTATGGAATTGTGAATCCATGGAGATATTGTAAGGCTATCGTATTCAGACGTCACATGGAAGAGACTTTCACGAATCATTTATAATTATCAATTAACAACGACTATTATGTTGAATGTCACTTCTTTATTAGGAAAAACACTTATATTTATACATGTATTCAAATATTTTGCTATCAATTGAGAGATTTTGTTTTTCTTTTCTGATTTTGTATCGAATTTATAATTATACAAAAAAACTCATCTAAGACTCGAAAATGAACTATTACTTGTTGATTTTGTTCGAAAATGCCGATACTAGTCATGGACTATTAGACAGATTCCTGTTTATTTCGTGTTTTATATTAAAGTTTCTCAAAACGTTCGAACGATTTTGTTCAATGGAAAAAATCGTTTTCTTCAGTGTACATGTCTAGAAGAGATTATCAATACATTTTTCAAATTCCTTTAAACAAAGTTAATTCTTCATAAGTTGTTGACTATCATCTATCCAACCAACATCCATTTATTAATTTGAAAATACGTTCTCTGATAAAAATCTAAAGTGATTTTCTTACTGATTGTCATTTACAACGTATCATGTGTTTCGATGAATAATGGCTATAAAGCCATTATCTTCTAGTGAATTGAATATCTTTTCTACAAAGGCAGTATTTAGTAACATAAAACACTAAAATCATATCGTGAGAAAATACAAAAATCTTAAATTCAAGTATTCATCACTTGCAAAGATTATGTGAATAAGCATCAGTTTCTTTATGGAGTACATCTCGAGATGAACGATTACAAGTGACTTTTACTCATATAATCATGTTTTTGTTTTAAGAGATATAATCTTATTACATCACCTCATTATTTCTAGACTGAAGTATGCATATACATCGTACGAAACTAAAAAAATATGTTGGTTTATTCCGTTTTGAGTGACTCAGCGTTCTTTTTCTTCCTACAAAAGAATTATTTTTTCTAATTTATTTACTTTGGCTTACGTGCACATGTGAAATAACAGTATACCTTACACATTTTTCAATCGTTTACCGATTGAGTTATTTTACGAAATATCATCTTGTCTTTCGTGTTGTCACATACTACGAGAATTTTATTCAATAAATAATTATCTGAATAATGTTTTTACTAGTTATGATGACTATGTTTTGAATTTATCCTCGTCGGACATATTGAAAAATGAAATAGATCTTGTTTGTTTAGTTCTATGATCAGAACAAATTGTTGAATTAAAATCAATGGACTCAATTAATTCAATTCAATCTCAATTGCAACTGTAAATAACAAAATAGATACATTGTTTGGTGTATATTTATCTATTTAGTTGAAAGTTCAAACTCGAATCCAAAAAATAATTTGAAGAATTGACTTTTATTTTAGATGGATAGGAAAATACAAGATACTGAATTTGCCAGCAAAGTTAATAAGAAAATATTTTCCACTATCAGAAATCGTTATAACTCCATGAGAAATCATATTTATCCTGTTCTATGTAGCGCTTTAGAACTATGATTATTTTAGTGAATTTTCGATGCATCGAAAGGCGTTGAAGAAAAGAGAAAGTTGCTCTAAAACTTTTCCTATAAACAGATTTATTGCATATTACAATGCTCTACAGTTTTCAACCAAAATGAATATGTCTTTGAGAAAATATCAAGTTTTCAAACATATAGTATTATTGTGTCTGTTTAGCGACGGATAATACCATTTAAACAATTGATGTATCAAAAAAGATATATTCTTTTGTGATGAAACTCTCAGAGCAATATTATTTTCGAAAAGGGTACCTTGAATGATCATTAATTATTGACTTTAAGCATGAATCGTTTTTTAGGCCTCTAGACGTTTCGTCGCTGTCATTCCGAACAACCGTCTTTGGCACCGGATGTTCAGAATTGGTATCTTAGTCCTTCAACGGGTGTTCGTAAGACAGAGAACGGATGTTCAGAATGAATTATGTCACATGACAGAGTTACAAAAGATAGATGTTCGTAAAAGGAACTACCAGATGTTCGGAACGAAAGCTTAACGGTGTTCGAGACAAAACAAATGCTGTTCAAAATGAACTTAGATAGAGAGCTGTAGACAAAAGAGAATAGATCTCATAATCTTGAAAGTGAAAACTCGAAAATAATAATAATATCAGTCACTTTGATGAACAGTCAACGCAAAACGCGAGGTTGCCTTCTTCCTATTGATAGTTGATTATTTACTCGGCGGCCGCATACATAGTTCAGGTTGTTTCTTGTTTCAACGACGACGGCGTGACATACAAATTTGTGCCCACTTAGCACTATATGACTTGCCACTCATGTGAAAGTTCACTCATTCATCATCACCACTCACGCGTCTATGTATTCAGTTTATTCGCGATTTTTACCTTTTTCTATCAATGCAACGACTGTGCTAAGCCCTTGAGATTTTTTTGAATCTTTACTAAAATACCGTACGTTCTTCGACCACATAAAGATTCTGTCTCGACTACATCTACTCCTTCAAAACAAATTGCATATATTTTCGCATATGTAACTATGTGCCTAACATACTGAGTAGTGTACTATGAAGAGAAGAGCGTTCCGAATATCGGTTAACTAGAATTAAAGTACTGCATTAATAAAAGAACCAGATCTCTGTTCCGAACATCGCTCATTTTCTATTTCGAACTCCCATGTAAACTTTTACGAACATCGGTCTATTGCTGTTCCGAACGTCTCTATATATTGATTACAAACACCCGATAGTTTTCTTTACGAACATCCGTTAAAATTATCCAGTTCTTCACACAGAAATGTGTGTACCACTACCGTTCCGAACATCCGTTTTTTCTCGATGATCGTTCCGAACACCCGTGTTTTGCTAATTACAAACATCCGATATTTTTATCAGAAAAGTGATGATTTTTTGAAGAAAAAGGATGTTCGGAACGGACTACGCCATTGGATGTTCAGAATGAAAAGTAGCGACGAAACGTCAAAATGCCGTTTTTTTAAATATTCTTAGTCTCTATAAAATTTAATCTTAGCTTTAATGAGAAATAAAATAGCATCCAAGACCTGTCTATGTTCTGTCGTAAGAAGGACAATGTAGTAGTTCTTGTCAAGATTATATAGAGAATTTCGTCTTACCAAAAGTGCTCTATTTGTTATCACTCTTCAAAAGCTAAGAGAAATATAAACTGATAACCATTTGTATATGCAATCAGGTGACTTTGGTCAATGTTTGTGGTAGCAAAACAAATTCGAGTTATCGTTTATTGTGAATTTTCAGTCGATGCCTCTGCTCGAATTTTTGAAGTGAAGCTGATGAAAACTTCACTGTCGACTATACATCCTTATCTTACTTCTAAAATCATGTTTTTCTCGAAAAATGTCATATATGAGAGTTAGGATTAGTGTCCGGAGCGATCAAGTTTTTCGGTCACGGTTATTCTTTGTGAATTGTCGCGAATTGTGATCTCTTTTCTTGAACGAGAATTTTTGTGACAAAAGTTAAATGAAGGCAGAAACATATGAATGACGCAATTATCAACCAAGAAGAAAAATACTCATGTTCCTAATCGATTAAATTTGGTTCAATCAAATAGTAACATACACGTGCATTTTTAGTTAACTGTATTCATAACAAAGTATGTACTTTTATTATGATTGTATCACATGAGATATTACAAATTAAGAAAATTTAAAATTTTCTTAGAAGAAATTAAAATTTCATCTCATTCTTATACTCTCAATTCTTATTTTGATTCGGAAAAACCAATGCAGTTAACACAAACATAGGATATGTAATTATCTTAGTACAAATAACTATCCGTAATCATGATCACTGTGAGTCACGTTGACGAAAACAGGTCGATCTTTTAAAATCAATTTAGTTCTTGCTGTTGAATGAATTCAATCTTATCAAGAGAATATCAAAATAAAGATATTTAAAAAAAAGAATAGTTTTTGTGTTAGAATTAGAGATGAATAGATATCATCTTTACTCGCTCTAGTTCCGGACATTGACACAGTCGACTCGTTTCAGAAACGAAAATCTCTTCATAGATCAATTGTTTTGAAATCAGACCTGATAAGCTCTTTTATAAAACTTGTTTGCATTTTCTAAGATGAATCCAATGTACATAGAACATGTATAGTTATCAAATGGTAAATTTTAAATGACCACATCGCATTTTATATTTAAATGAAATACATTAATCAAATACTCTCTTTTATCTAATTTCGATTATATTCTTTTTTTCAGAAACTTCATCTAATATTTTTATTCTTGTTTTTTTTTTAGTTAAAACTGGTCTTTGATTTGACATGTTACAAGGAGTATTATCGACAATGTTTCGATTAAAGTATTTGACATTAGTACTGAGCAAACCATTAACAATGAGTAATAAGATATTAAGTGGAATTCAATGGAAATCATTTGTATCAACGTTACTCATTTTCTATTGAGTGAATGTTCGAAGAAGACATCTATTTCCTTTTGAATATATATAAATCAAAATGATGGTTGAAGAGAAAACGATGGTTTGTTGAATATGATGCTCATGAAAATGCTCTCATTACTCTATCTTATTTTGCTTCAAAAACTTTTGATAATCGTCATTCATATTGATTTGATTTAATTCAAAATTCTAAAATATTTTATTCAAATATCAATTATTTAAATATTGATTTACATAAGTGCAATGAAATAGAACAAATATTAGTCTCCATGTGACACAACTATCATTGAATGGATCTTTAACAAGAGATGTTTGTGATGCAATTCGAAATAATGTTGATCTGAATATGATTCAACATTTTGAGTTTTCTTCAACTGTCGACACCACTGAAGCTTTTATTGAATTGATTGAAAATATGATTAATTGTTCTTCTATTCATATTTAGTACTTACATAGGCTTGATCTATTTAAGTTAATTCTATCACCAAATCTCTCAATTCGAATCTTGTTTTATTCGACTATGAACCAACAACAAGAAAACAATTTTTCTATCATATATGTCGAATCTTTCCACGTTTAACCCATTTGACAACAGACTATCATTCACGACGAAGGCTTTGTTATTTATTAAATGAATTTGTTCATCTTGAGTAACTCACTTTTCGTTTAGCTCAAGATCAGTAAGCTTCAAATCATTCTTGGATCAAGCAACATAGTCGACTACGAATGAATCCATTTGAAATCAGAGTATTTAATATTCTTCATAGAGAAAGAAGGCTGCTTTTGTGGATCAATACTAATAATAAAATAGAACATCATCAGCATCATACATTAAACAAATGTTCTATTGAATAATTTATTTCAAATTATTTTCTTTTCAAGATTATTGTTTTCACTGGAGAAAAACGGAAATTTACTTTTGAAATTTGTAGAGAAAAGAAAATAATTCGATTTTTATTCCATTTTGACACTTGAAAGAAATAATCAAGAAATAGTACTTCATTTCTATGAATATTATCATTTTTTGTTATATTGAATATTTTTAGAGCACGTATCAATTCTGATTAAAAATATCTCATTTTTCGTATTTATGAAAAATAGAAAAACAAACATCATCTTAAATGAATCAAAAGAAAACCGACACGAACATATTATTAGTAGAAAACTATTGTTAACATTTTACATGATAACAAATGACATGTTTCAATCGTTGTTTATCACGAAAATATTCTTATGTGCGGTACAAATAAGCATCAATATTAATCTATGTAACATAATTTTGCTTATACTAATGAAGAAAATTCTTTGAATTATGATTTCTACTCAATAATTATAACTGTATAGAAGTAGATTCGAATAGTTTCTATACTCAAAATCAAATCATTTTACGTTTTCCTAAGTTGCAAAACAATTATTTAAACATTGAATTCTTAATCTCTATTGTGTGAAAGGTGAATTGTAGTATAAATATTTTGTTAATTATATAATAGTTGTCCTTACAATAGGACATTTAAAATATTTATTTACAAACATGATAAAACTATTCAAAAAAGAAATTGACTAAAATTTTCGAAGAAAAATTAACAATTAATTCTAATAAAAGATTGAATTTTTTGTCTACAAATTGGACATGAACGAAGTGCATATCCACAAGGAACACAAGCACATAAATGTCCACAAGGCATACATGCTAATTGTTTTTCTTCATTAAGACATATAAAACATTCACCTAATGATTGTTTTAATAATTGAGATGAATTGTCTAATTGTTGATATTTTGATGGAATTATAATATTATCAGAAGAACCTTGAATAATTTCAATTTGTTTTTGAAGAATTGAACAAGCCATTGATAAATCAATATCTGATTTAAAATCATCATTTTTGAGTTTTAATTGATCTTCAATACAACATTTAATTATTTCTAATGGATATTGTAAACGAAGACGTTCAACTATAGGTAAATCAAGTCTTCCTCTAACTAACCGAGCAAGTTCATCTTTATTAATTTTATTTTCTTTTAAGTTTAGTTTTGTTTTTAATGCTTGAATTTTTTCATATAATTGCTTTCCACATAAATGCTTAGCATAAGTACAATTAGGAAACCAACGAGCATGTTCAATCATAGGATTATCTTTTGGACCCCATTTATGTAATGAACCATTACAATAAAAACATGTCACTGTATTATTAACACCAGTGAAAAAGAATCCAGCACGAACTAAACTTTCAATACTTGGACAATTTTCTGTCCAATTAGCATTAGAAAATGTTTGTTCTCGACGTGATATTTCAGTCATTGTTGGATGAGATGGTTGAAATTTTTCTTCAAGTGTATCATTAATTATTTTTGGTGAATTATTTACTAAAGGCATTGAAATAACAAATGGACATTTTGGAGAAAGTCTTTTATGAACTTCAATTGGATCATCATTATTTGTCCATTCATGACAAATTGTATTACAATATATACAAATAACTCGATCATTAACATTACATGAAAACCAACCGGCAGATATCATTGATTGATTACTTGGTATGAAATGTGGCCAATGAGAAAGACTACGAATTCGAACTTCTCGTATTGTTTCTGATTCATTTAAAGAATATTTCTTTTTTCCAATAATAAATTCTTGTTTTGGAATATTTGTTATTGAACTGAGAATTGTTTTCTGTTTTTCTATCTTACTTACAGAAGAACAACCACCATCTACATAAGATTGTTTATTTAAGTCTTCAGCTTGAATAATATCAGCAGTAGCCATATCGACACAATTTAATTAAATCATAGTAGAATGATGATCAATATCATTTTTATATTACTATGAACCGATATGTGTTTCGGAAAATCCTTAACATCATCGGTTTGTTTTTCAATCGAACTCTATTCAATAGAAAGATAAAAGCAACTTTTTTTTGCCCATGCGTCAGTGTTGTCTTCCATAGTGAGGAAAAAAAAAGAAAAAAGAAAGCTACCTATTACGTTTTTTATTTATTTTATGACAGCATGATTGTGTGAAGAGTCACGTCATTTCTTTTTTCTAGTTTTAACTTAGATTTTTGTCCATGTGCAAGAAATATTCTCCCTGTCGGACAATAATTTAGAATTTATTCCAAACAATTTTGGAGTTTTCTTTAGTATTAACAAATTAAATTAATTTACTACTGTTGTTATTTATTTATGTTAGAATATTAAATCATCCAACTATTCCATTGTAAGTTTTTCTTTTGAAATTTCAATAAAATTCAATCATATACAAATTGATACTTTTTTAAAAATAGATTTGACATATTTGCAGAAATA